GCCAGGGAGTAAATAAAAGGAATGTCTGGGAAGCTGATGGAAGAGCTGATACAGTAAATCTTGTTTTTACTGATAAAAGGTTTCCCAGGCATAGGTTCTGCTGGTCTGCAGATTGTGTTTTATGATGCCATGTAAAAATAAATTTGCCTTTTGTATGTGCAGGTGACGTATATACATAAGGTTCAAGATGGAGGATTTTGTAAGGAAACATATCCTGGCCATCAGTGTCTTCCAATGGGTGTTGACCTTTCTGCTCATGGGTAAGTGGAGGAGAAAAAAATCTGAATTATTTCTGTTATTCATTTGTGGACCTCTTTCTGACCTTCAATGTTGTGTCCAGAGGGCCATATCGGTGGTGCATATGAGGACATATCAGAGCTAAGACCACTCTCACATTCAGTAGGAGCTTCCAGGGCCATTTACACATAGCCATTGACCCTCGGCTACATCCTGCAGCACTCAGTAGGTTCTCTTCATGGAGGTGTCTGAGAATCCAACACATCCCCCTGCAGACTAGGACTGGCCTTCATCCCTGGATTTTACAGTGTAATCCCAAAAGCCTAACATATCCTCCTGAAAGTGCCCAATCCACGTTGATTCCTCCTCAGGGCAGACCTAGGGTTGCCACCTTTTCTACAAGCGAAACCCAAACGCACTCTAGCGAGGCGCAGACATTTTTTTGTGAGAATCAGTGATGGCTTATTCATATGTAAATAGCGCCACCCATTCATATGTAAATATAAATGTTGAGACTATTTGCAGTAGCACCTATCTTAATTTTGGTTGCCCCTGTCTGCCTGACATCTCGTGTCCGGGTTTCTGCTGTAATGAAACCCGTACACAGCATTCAAAACCCGGACTGTCCGGGTAAATCCTGGACAGGTGGCAACCCTAGGCAGACCTGAGAAACTTATAGTCCTCTCTGCATGCAAAGGAAGTTTAGTCTTTTTCCATAATACATTGATCATTGGATCAGGCACTCACTTTACCAGCAACAATATTTCACAATTACTCTATCTAGCAGTTTTTTTAAAGCCTGATAGGCTACCCCTGGAGGAATGCAGTTCCTGGTCCATGTTCCCTAATGACAGAGGACTCCATGGATTGTTCACATGGCAGGCCTAGGTGTATCACACCACAGAGAGAACAGTGTTCTTCCTCTGACTCCAAAGACCTTCACACATCAGCAACCTCAACAGGAACCCTTTCTCCTGATTGGGGAGAATTTTCCTCAAATTAGAAAAAAAATGATGGTCAAATCTCTTAAAGGTCTAGTAACACCTCCGACACAAAGAATTGACCAAGCTGCGGTGACCAGAAGGTTGTATGGGCTTCTCCCCTGGAGTAACAGATGAGCGGGGGTAAGCATAAATCCTCAGCAGGAGAGACACCAGCCATGCTCCAGAGGTCCTCTATGTTCCAGGTACCTCCAGCAGACATCAGCTTCTCTGGTTCTCCTCCTCTGATAACAGCACAGGCCTCCTCCATACTTGAGGCCTAGGGAAACTCTTCCCAAACTCTAGCCTCTGCCCACCCCCAGGCCTAGCCTGGGGGTGGCTGGGCAGCACCCAGTCCAATTCTAATCCATGGCTGGTCCCGACTAGTCTGAGCACATGGCAATTCCCTCCAGTATATGTATCCTATCCCAGCATGCACCCCTGGTTTAGAGAAACCCAGTGATTGGCTGCTGTACTGTACATACACTTACAGTGCCTCTCATTGGCTGTTCCACAATACAGCAGAGTCACACTCCACCCAGGTGGTGCCAGACACCTGGAATTAACCAGATAAATTCCAACTACAATCCAACCAGGCTGGCTACAGCCATGGCAATAACTAAATGTCTAGTATCCACCTCACAAAAGGTGATGGGGGCTACACTTTCTTTTGTTTAGTGACCCTGCATTTCTCTACATAAGTAAGCTGTGTAAAGTAATGAAGGTCAGGACTCATAAGGACCCAAAACACACTCTGAAAATTGTTACTGATCTAGAGATAAAACATTTTATGAGGTCTTGGATAAATGGTGCTATACAAGTCCTCAGGCTGGTGGGCTACATGTTTGAGCAGATGGGCTGGGGACAGAGTTCCTAGATCATACACATCATGAGAGAAACACGGTGTATACCCAAAAGGACAATGTGTATAGAGACAATCAGAGAATGAACTTAGAAGGCATTGACTTTAAAAAATATATGGATGAACCACTAACTAATGGACTGCAGAACTCTGAAATGGTGGAATGCATGTACCGGTATGCCATGCACAATTGTATCCCATTGCAAAGCAGCTGCACCACGAGGACAAAGAATGTGACTGTTGGGAGTGATATTACCAGGTTATGGACATTACTTGTTGTTGGCCAATCCTATGCTACCTTTGTATGGCTTTCCTTTTACTTAAAGTGGAATTTTCAGTAATTTTAGACGTCTGCACGAAAACATTCTTGACATGTTACAGCTGTACCTTCCAACATTACAAAGCAGTCCTCAAACTCCAGTCCAGTGACTTTGACCTTGATAAAGATGGACTAAGCTTCATCAAAATGTTGACAATAAAATTCGGACACTTTGACTTATGTCCCCTGCAAGACCCGTGAGTGGAGGAGGGGACGTTCACCCGGCGGAATGAGGTATGCTGCCGGTCCCCTTCTCTCTCCTGACACTGTCGGGATCTCGGTCCATGACCAAGTGCCCGACTTTTTGGAGGGCGTGACACCAAAATGACTGTCAGTCATTTTGGTGTCACCCCTCCAATGGAATCAATAGTACAAAATCACCTGCACTCCATACAGCGTACAGACCTTGAGTAAGAGGTTGGTGCTTGAAGTGACAACACGGATGGCGTCGTGTCAGATACAGTCCATAATAGAAGTCACCAGCACTCGATTATATGTGCAAGAAGTAAAGCACTTTTTATTCAACCGTCACATGCGTCAAACAGCCAACGTTTCGGGGCCACGCAGGGTCCCTTCTAGGTCACTATGTCGCCCATAAGAAGGGATCCTGCGTGGCCCCCGAAACGTTGGCTGTTTGATGCATGTGACGGTTGAATAAAAAGTGCTTTACTTCTTGCACATATCATCGAGTGCTGGTGACTTCTATTATGGACCCCTCCAATGGAGTCACCTGGGTGTGGGCCGCACCCCCGCACCTCCCTTGTGACGCCACTGCTTATATAGCTTTGGAGAAGATGTGCTGTTAACTAAAAAGAAGCCCAATACGTAAATTACATAATTATTACAGATATAAGATGCCCGTGACCCACAGCTACAATGAATCAAAAGTCCTTTTTGACATTGCAGTTTATGCTCTGCTCTTCTGTCTCCACCCAGGTATATTTTTCACCCTGCTGCTCATCTATCTTCTCTTCACCTCATTTTGGGTGTTTTCGGTGGTCTATTTCACCTGGTTGCTATTCGATTGGGACACTCCAGTTCGAGGTAACAGTCTTTTTATAAATACATGTGACGCTCTGATACATACTCATTCTAATATTTTCTTATTATTCAGGAAGCTGCACTCACTGGGTCTTGATTGTCTTCGGCAGGTGGTCGCAGAATAGAGTGGATAAGGAATTGGACAATATGGAAGCATTTTAGAGACTACTTCCCTATAAAGGTATTTATTTAATAATATAATTATGAGTATGTTCATGCAACTAACTTGACTAACATTCCATGTACCTTTTAGGTGATCCTTGATTTTTCTGGTGGTTTAATTTTGATTTTGTAGTTTATTAATTAAGATGGATGAATTAGTCATATAATATAGTAAAACATTGGGGGTTACCGTTGCAGGGTAATGACCTTTTAGGGCCCTGGAAGGGTCTGTGCCATAATCCACTCTGGATAAATCTGACCAATGGAGTCTCTAAAGCTGACCATATGGATTCCAATTTTATTTGTGCAATTAGATCTAGTAATAGAGCCTGCATGACTGTATATAGAATTGCTGTGGATTATGGCAAATGCAGTTAACTGTAGCACTCTTCATGGCATGCTTAGAGTTCAGGAGGTGGAACCAAGTTGTGTGTGAATAAGAGGGAACCAAGTTCAATGTGAATAACTTAGAACCAAGTTCCCAATGTGAATAATGTTATTTAAGATAAATATCAAGAGAACTAAGGCTATGACAACAAGACTAATGGAGGTTAGGACAACTTCAGAGTTGATGTTGAAGACATAGCAGTAGATGACATTGTCTGCCTCCTTGGAACAATTGTTCAACAGTAAAGCATCCAGGAGTCAAGAAATATGATGCAGACTGGAACTTAGGAGAACAAGTTTGAAAGATCTAGAAAAGATCTTTAAATGTACTGAGGTGCCTAGAAGAACAAAGATCAGAGTTGTCCAGGCTATGTTTTTTTCTTCAATATGCAGAGGATTCAAAGGATCCAACGCAGACTGGAACTTAGAAGAATAAGTATGAAAGATCTAGAAAAGTAACAGCAAAGGATCCAGGAGTCAGTAAATATGATGCAGACTGGAACTAAGAAGAACAAGGATGAAATATCGAGAAAAGATCTTCAAAGGTACTGAGGTGTCTACAAGAACAAAGATCAGCCTATGGTATTTGCTCCAATCTGCAGAGGATTCAAAGGATCCAGCAGTCAATAAATATGATACAGACTGGAATTCAGGAGAACAAGGATGGAAGATCTAGGAGAGATCTTCAAATGTACTGAGGTGCCTATGAGACCAAAGATCAGAACAAAGATCAGAGTTGTCCAGGCTATGGTATCTGCTCCAATCCGCAGAGGATTCAAAGGATCCAACACTCAGGAAATATGGTGCAAACTGGAACTTAGAAGAACAAGGATGAAAGATCTAGAAAAGATCCTCAAAGATCCTATAAGAACAATGAGTTTTACAGGGTATGGCATTTTCGCCAATGTGTAGAAGACACTGCTCCCTCCCGGCATGCAGCCATCAAGCCTCTATGACTAAGCCGTGTAGGGTAAAATGTGATAGATAGGGGTGGACCAGAGATGGGACGGCATGGTTGGAGTTTCAACAAAGCTGATTTTATTCTGTCTGGGACCGGGATTCTGGAACTATGGTATTATCTGTCACTCTGTATGAATATGAAAGCTGGGCAATGAAGAAGCAAGACTGGAAAAGTAATGATGTCTATGACATTTGGTGTTGGCCAAGAATTCTAGGAATATGGTGGCCTCCAATAAACACAAATAAATGGATCCTTCAACAAATCAAGCCAAACCTTTCATTAGAAGTTCAGATGACTAGACTGAAGTTGTCCTATTTGGACATATTATGAGAAGAACCGACTCAGATCAGACAACTATGGTTGGAGAAGTTGAAAAAAGAAGAAAGCAACCAGAAATAAAATGGCTGGAAGTATGAGCATGCCATTGTGAAGGCTGGACACCCAAACAGAAGACAAATCATTCTGGAGAAGCACTATCCATTGACTTGACACCACTTAATAATTGCAGTAGTAATTTTTGTCCAGTGGAAGGTGAATTTTATCCCAAATTGGTACAAAAGCAATTTGCTGTAGTATGAAAAAGGCCAATTTGTTTTATTACAAGCAAACTCTATTTCACTCAAGGGTGCACTCTTTCTATTTGTCCTGATGACCATTGTTACCAGGACAAAAAGTGATGGGAAACCCAACATTTTACAGTTGTCCCAGTTACACAAGAAGGTAAGAGGAAGTCTAGACTGGGGACAACTGGTCAGGTAACAAATATCTAAAAGGGGTTGCCTTCACTTTGGAGAGATTTCTTCCTACTTCCCGTTATGTCTCCAAGACAGGAAGTGAAGGGAAATGTCCCTAGCAGGTCACAGGACTAAAAAAAGTTTGGAGATTGTATCCCTTTGACATTCCATCCAAAACTAAAAAAAGAGTTTGGCCTATAGATACATTATGGATTAAACCCGCCATGAGAGAAATTCAAGGGTCGCCACTACCTTCTATAAATGCTCATCAACCAGTAATGGCAGCCGCCATCTTTCCTTTAATCACTTAATAACATCTCACTGTGTACATCTTGTGTAAGATTAGCAACGTCTGTTTGTATCTTCTGAATCTTTACAGCTAGTGGCGTCTTCTGCACTCAGCCCCGACAGGAACTACGTCCTTGGTTGTCACCCCCATGGCATTTTCTCTGTGTCCTCCTTTTGCAACTTTGGTACTGAGGCCACTGGTTTCTCTGAGCTCTATCCAGGAATCCGCCCCAGGCTGGCGGTCCTCGCTGGGTTGTTCCGGCTGCCCATATACCGCGACTACGTCATGTCGGCAGGTAAGCCCTTCAATGAGAATGAAATAATTACTTTGTAATTCTTGCTGCTTTTAACTGAGATGATGTGCGCAGATAATTAATCTCAGCCTTGTGATACAACCATAAGAGAACAAACAAAAAAAAAGCACTACCAAGGTGGGGCAATTGCAACAACATTTGTGGCCACATTAGGTTTCTTTTTTTTCCTCTTTATTATCACCTGGTGATCCGGCCAGCAATGAACTCCCTGCCTTATGGTGGCTCCAGCCTGTAGAGGAGCAATGGAGCCACCCTTGGACAGCAGCACAGTCACTCTGTGGGGAGGGGGGTGTTAGATGGACCCGTAGATTTAGATGGACTTAACATTAGTGCCTAATAAATTAAAGCTGAACTCCAGCTGACACTTTTTAAGCAGTTACAGTAACAGGTTTTTTTAACTTTTGGGATAAAGATTTTACATAAATGAATAACAGCTGATCAGTGTCAGCACCCTGGGCAGTGTGGCATGGTTTGTTCCAACCCTATAAAGGACACAAACAGGGCTTTTCCCTGTACACAAACTAGCGTCCTCCCATCCCCCAAAGCTCAGTATACCGCAAGCTACAGCTCATGGTATACTGAGACGCCGCAGCCAGAGGCAGAGCCAGCTTTGCCCGCCCCCTCCCCTGCCCGTTCCTCCAGTCAGCGCTAGAGGAACGGAGCGGGGACGGGGGAATCCCTGCGGGGAGCAGTGAGTTACAGTCACTGCTCTCTGCAGGGAGATGATCGGAAAGTGAGCGAGCGCCGGTATGTGTTCCCTCACTTCCCGATCTATAGAGCCTACCTGTGACAGTTTCATTGTCACACATCGGCTCGAACTATGAGGATGAGTGGAAATCACTCACCTCATAGTTCTCCTTTAACTATTAACAACAATGTATCTTATTTGTGTTATCACTCGGCTGTAGATCCTCCAATCATCTCTGAGTTGGTGCTGACACGGTCCTTCCTTCTGGAGGGTGGCTACTTGTGTTCCACATGGTCTCTGTGTGTGTTGTAAAGTAGTCACCGCTCCAAGCTCACTCCCGTGATGAACTACAATCTCATGTTTAGTTTACTAATTTGTACTGAGACTGTAGTCAATCCCGGGGGAGAGCTTGGGGCGGTGACTACTTTACAACACACACAGGGACCATGGGGAACAAAAGTAGCCACCCTCCAGAAGGAAGGACAGTATCACAACCAATTCAGAGACGATTTGAGGTTCTACATTGTTAATAGTTAAAGTGACATTAAAGGCAACATTTTTTTTCCCCTCCCCCCCATGTAAATGTTAGCACTTAACTTAAATGATGTCTCTTTTCCCGATCTTCCTCTTCTTTCCCCATGTTTTCATCTGTCCCTCCAGCGGTGCGGCGTCACTCCGATCCAGCGCTGACTGCTCTGTCTCTCCGATCCAGCGGTGTCTGCAGGCCGGTGCACGCGTCCAAAGACTTACCTTGCGTCTCTGCTCGTCTCCTGGCCGAGAATCAGAACTGCGCATGCGCCCGCCCCAAGATCCTTTGCGGCCGTACGAGCAGTTCCTGATTCTCGGCCTCGGGAGCGAGCGGCGATAACGAGGTAAGTTTAAAATGATTTTAAACGTTTTTTTTTTTGTTTTTTTTTACACTTCTTGCCTATATCTACTGCTTGCTAGCAGTAGATATAAGCAAAAAAAAACAGAGGGTTTAGAACCCCTTTAAGGTTCTTGAATGTATTTTTAGGATTTAACTCCTAAGTTTCGTCACTTTAAATAAATTTTAGTGAGCATAAACACAGTATAATCCTCAATTTATTTGTAAAATATAAAAGATGAGGTTATGCCGAGTTAATACATACCAAACCTGTCCATCTTTAAAATTATGTGCGTCCCTGATACCTTAACTTCCTGTCCCTGTAACACCCATACAGGGAATGGTTGGAGTCAGAAGTTCTTCGACCTTTACGACTCTACTAACACTGTGTCCCTTTTGGAGAGATTTCCCATCACTTCCTGGCCTGACAGGAAATCCCCCCGAAGGGGTAAAAACCCTTCCCTGCTCTGTCCAGAACTAAATAAAACATTTTGTCCGGGGTTTGGCTTTCATCCATCAAAGTCTTATCACCTTTTCTCTCCCTTCTTCTTTCCTAGGATGTGCTCCTGTGAGTAAGGACAGCCTGAAATACATCCTCACCCACTGCGGCACTGGGAATGCGCTGATCATTGTGGTGGGAGGAGCGGCGGAGTCCCTGCAGAGCAGTCCGGGGGATCATGTGGTCACCCTGAGTGACAGGAAGGGATTTGTCCGCCTGGCCCTGGAGAACGGGTAGGTTACATTGCCATCGGGCGTTCCTCCAAGAGTCAAGGAAACATTGAGGTGTTCTGACCCCGTTCACACCTTTGCGTTCACTGATTGCGCAATGACACAAAAACACACAACGTGCGTAAAATAAATGTTGGCTATAATGGAGGTCGTGCAGTGTAATGTCTCCTATCATTTCCCGCAGGGCCGACCTCGTCCCCGTGTATTGCTTCGGAGAGAACGACATCTATGAACAGGTCCGCTTTACTGAGGGCTCCTGGGGCTGGAAGCTGCAACTCCTCTTCCGGAAACATGTGGGATTTGCCCCCTGCTTGTTCAAGGGCACCGGGGTGTTCGGGGAGGGCAGCTGGGGCCTCAACCCCTTCCCTCGACCCATAACTACAGTGGGTGAGTATAGTGTTTGCACTCTCTAGGACGCAATCCAGAAACAGAGAAGGAGGCTGGAGGGGGCAGAATCAGGGAAAGAGGCTGGAAAGGGCAGAATTACAGAAGAAGGCTGAAAAGGGCAGAATTACAGAAGAAGGCTGAAAAGGGCAGAATTAGAGAAGAAGGCTGGAAAGGGTAGATTTAAAGAAGGAGGCTGGAGAGGGCAGAAACAGAGAAGGAGACTGGGGAGGGCAGAATTAGAGAAGAAGGCTGAAAGGGAAGAATTAGAGGAGGATGAGGTTGGGAGAGGGCAGAATCCTAGAAGGAGGATGGATAGAGCAGAATTAGAGGTGGAGGTTGGAGAGGGGATATTCAGAGGAGGCCGGAGAAGGCAGAATTAGAAAATAAGGCTGGAAAAGGCAGAATTAGAGCAGGAGGCTGGAGGGGTTAGAATCAGAGAAGGAGGCTGGAGAGGGAAGAAATGGAGAAAGAGGCTGGAGAAGGCAAAATTAGAGAAGGGGCCAGGAGAGGGCAGAAACAGAGAAGGAGGCTGGAGAGGGCAGAATCAGAGGAGGCTGGAGAAGGCAGAATTAGAAAGGGAGGCTGGAAGTTAGAAAAAGTGGAATTAGAAAAGGAGGCTGAAAAGGGCAGAATTAGATGAGTAGGCTGGAGGGTTTAGAATCATTGGAGTAGGTTGCGGAGGGCAGAATTAGAAAATTAGGCTGGAGAGGTTGGAATTAGAGAAGGAGGCTGGAGAGGGCAGGAACAGAGAAGGAGGATGGGGGGCAGAATTAGAGAAGGAGGCTGGGGTTGTGTTCAAAACTAAAATTTCCATTACTTAGATGACCCCCCCCGGATTAATAAATTTATGGTTTATCAGTAACATCATCCAGGCAGGCAGCCGGAGTACCCAACTTTCCCCCTCCACCACAATGTTCTGCAGAGTGTATAGATGGGATATTCTGCAGAGTGTATAGATGGGATATTCTGCAGAGTGTATAGATGGGATATTCTGCAGAGTGTATAGATGGGATATTCTGCAGAGTGTATAGATGGGATATTCTGCAGAGTGTATAGATGGGATACTCTGCAGAGTGTATAGATGGGATACTCTGCAGAGTGTATAGATGGGATACTCTGCAGAGGGTATAGATGGGATATTCTGCAGAGGGTATAGATGGGATATGCTGCAGAGGGTATAGATGGGATATTCTGCAGAGGGTATAGATGGGATACTCTGCAGAGTGTATAGATGGGATATTCTGCAGAGGGTATAGATGGGATACTCTGCAGAGTGTATAGATGGGATACTCTGCAGAGAGTATAGATGGGATATTCTGCAGAGGGTATAGATGGGATATTCTGCAGAGGGTATAGATGGGATATGCTGCAGAGGGTATAGATGGGATATTCTGCAGAGGGTATAGATGGGATACTCTGCAGAATGTATAGATGGGATATTCTGCAGAGTGTATAGATGGGATATTCTGCAGAATGTATAGACATGACCCTCTGCGGGATGTATAGGTAAAGTATCTTGCAGGGTCCATAGTGAAATGTGCTGCCGATATGAGAGGGTGAGATGCTCTGCAGTCTCTGGGTGAGATGGTATAGCGTACCCTGGCAGTGACGCCGGGCTCTGCGTCTGCAGGTGATGCTCAGCAGGTATAATTCCAGGTAATAGTAACTGGATCTGCAGACCGTGTGTCATCAGATAGTACACGAGACCGAGAGAGCTAAATATAGAGTACAAGGTGACCGAGGACAGAGACAAGGACAGGGAGCACCAGGGACCGAGGGAGGGAGAGCCAGGGACAGGGAGTACCAGGGACAGAGGGAGGGAGAGCCAGGGACAGGGAGCACCAGGGACAGAAGGACAGAGAGCCAGGGACAGTGAGCACCAGGGACAGAAGGAGAGAGAGCCAGGGACAGGGAGCACCAGGGACAGAGAGAGGGAGAGCCAGGGACAGGGAGCACCAGGGACAGAAGGAGGGAGAGCCAGGCACAGTGATCACCAGTGACAGAGGGAGGGAGAGCCAGGGACAGGGAGCACCAGGGACAGAAGGAGGGAGAGCCAGTATCATGAAGGAGAGATAAGAGAGGGATGGAGCAGAGACATAGAGGAGAGATATAAGAGAGAAGGATCAGAGGTATAGAGAAGAGAAGAGGAGAGAGGGAAGGATCAGAGACATAGAGGAGAAATATAAGGGAGAGGGATCAGAGGTATAGAGAAGAGAAGAGGAGAGAGGGAAGGATCAGAGACATAGAGGAGAAATATAAGGGAGAGGGATCAGAGGTATAGAGAAGAGAAGAGGAGAGAGGGAAGGATCAGAGACATAGAGGAGAAATATAAGGGAGAGGGATCAGAGGTATAGAGAAGAGAAGAGGAGAGAGGGAAGGATCAGAGACATAGAGGAGAGATATAAGAGAGAAGGATCAGAGGTATCGAGAAGAGAAGAGAAGAGGAGAGAGGGAAGGATCAGAGACATAGAGGAGAGAGAAGTAGAAGAGAATGAGATGGTGGGAGAGGAGGCTGGTAGACGGCGGGGAGGAGTGACAGTCAGCGGGAGGTGCGGGGGAGAACAGATGGAGAATAGAGATGACAGAGGATATTAGGAGAGAAGAGAAAGGTAGGCAGAAAATGAGACAGGACAGCACACTATAGATAGTAATAGGCAGCAGAGCGTGACACGAGGGAGACGTCATTTATTTGGGGATGAATATATTAGAAATGGATCTATGGATATCACAGGGAGCAAAGCAAGTAGGGTGAATATTTTAGGCATGCATGCAGTGGAGATGAATATATTAGGGATGGATATAATGGGGATGAATATATTTGGGGTGAATATTATAGGGATGAATATATTAGGGATGGATATAATGGGGATGAATATATTTGGGGTGAATATTATAGGGATGAATATATTAGGGATGGATATAATGGGGATGAATATATTTGGGGTGAATATTATAGGGATGAATATATTAGGGATTGATATAATGAATATAATACAGATGGATACAATAGAAATGGGCACATTAGGAATGAATATAGCAAGGGTGTATATGATAGGGATGGGTGTGATAGGGATGTATACATCAGGGCTGGATAAAATTGGG